TGATGAGCTGGGCTGTTATGGGCAAATCGGCAAAATCCGCCGCGGCTTCCTCGAGCTTTTGGCGAATTGGCGAGTCAGCCCTCGCTTCCCAGACTGAGGCGTTGGTTGGTAGGGATGTCGGACCGAGCGACATTCCTCGCAGGTCCCGAACTCATCACGGCGTCTACTGACTGCAACATCGCCGACCAACGAATCATGATGACCTCTCAGCTTGGCCAAGGTGGCGCTTTGCCACATTTGTCGAAGCACGTCAACCAGGCTCCAGGAATGTCACCGAGCATGCGCTCTTGCTCCTTCGCGGTCGTGTTCAACAGCACTATAAAAGCACTCGAGAAGGAGAGAGGAGATAGAGAACGAGAGAGAGAGCGAGAGAGAGAGGGAGAGAGCAAGAGAAGCGAGAAAGACAGGCAGGCAGACAGGCAGACAGACTGACGGACAGGACAGGACAGGACAAGCAGACAGAGGGCCGGCACGACAGTGCACCATGCATTATGACACACTGACTTGACGGCAACACTGCACTGAAAACGCAAGGGGGGTTTAAGCACTCACTCTCGGACAAACCTGCAAGGATTCCAGGCGGGGGTTTGGGGGACTGTGAAAGCGAGCCCGCAAAAAGACGAAGAGAGGACGGCCCGACAGAGGACTGCAACACGGACCCTTGCACACTCACTCCGGCCAGAAACCCGAACAAAACCCTGAACAATCCCCACGAACAGGAACAACTTCCTGACACGACGTTTGACTCGTGCGACCCTGTGCAATCTTGTGGGACAGCGGGCAGACTGTCTGGAGTCCCCTTGACTCAGACTCTTGCTGCCGGACATGTAGACGGCGGTGAAGTCGGACTGGTCCCGGCTTAGTCCGAATCTTCGACTTGCGGCCAACATGTCCGCCGTTGAAGCAGCTCAGTGACGTGACAGGTCGGTGGTTTCGCCACCTCAGTAGTGGAGACCTCACATCATGGTGCCATGTTGAAGTCTGGAGCGAGTGCTGGTCACCGGCAAGTTGCGTAGATTCTGCTTGCGAACTTGTAGGGGCATCAGGGCACGCGCCGAGGCCATGTGCAAAGGCAATCAAAGGCATGATCAACATGCTGGCAAGATGGCAAGGTTGCAGGTTCAAATGGCGAACTGTAACTTCGCTTACCTGGTTGGCCTCGCCGGCGGCGTACGGCTCGGCGAGGCAGCTTCTGTGGTGCAACGGGATATACGGGATGCAGCGGGGGCCAACCGATGCAAGGGGATCACCACCTGGTCCGGAGCTGTCACCCTCCGCGGGGCCGCGACCACCCTGCAAATGCCCGACGTTTGGCAAGACGTCGAAGTAGCCAAAGTAGGGGACCCGAGCCGGGACGGCATCCTGGGTGGCAGCTTCACGGAGAGCAGTGGTAGTACATGCCGTGGGTCCGTGGGCTGCGAAGCTGCGAAACGATCGCAGACGGTTCGCGGTCGCCAAATTAGATCGGAAGGTTTTTCCATTTGTTTCGGTATTTTTTCATTTGATCCTTTTCGTGTTCCCCTACTACTAGGTTTAGGATACTAGTCGCAACACTACCAGAAGCATTAGTAGTAGTAATATTACTACTACTACTACTACTACTACTACTACTACTACTACTACTACTACTACTACTACTACTACTACTACTACTACTACTACTACTACTACTACTATTACCATTAAGCTATTACTACTGCTATTGCTATAGCAATATGGCTACTGCTATTGCTATTACTATTAATCTCAGTATTACTATTACTATGCCTATGAATATTAATATGACTATTAACATTACTATTACTATTACCAGTAATATTATTATTACTATTTCTTTATACTTATTACATATTGGGTGGGGATTTGATCTTGATGATGTTCGTTGTCGCTGACCCCACCGAGCTAATGAGTAAGACTGTGGTTGCCCTCAACAGACTCGATACACTATCACCTTCACTCCCACGTACAAGCACTCCTCCCAGGCAGGTCCAAAGCTCGCTTGTTTTCCACCTTCGCGGTAAGCGATGGATCGTCTGTGCTCGGGATGGCTCTTTTCCTCAGAAAGGTCACAGAAGACGATAAGCTGTTTTAAGCTATCGGCAATGCTTTCTAGAGCTTGTGCTCATTCTTGAGCCAGAGTTGCATGGGCGGCATGTGATAATGATGGTGCGGTTCTGTGGTATGCGTAACATGCCCACAGGCCAACACCTAGAGATGGAGTACGCGTTGCGTGCCTCCACTCTTGACCTATACAAGGCCTCACTCATAGCTCTTATCGTGACATCATAGAACTTGACTAGGCATCGCAGTCCGTTCGCACATATTACTGTTACTAGTACTTAAAATATTACTATTACTATTCCTGTTCCTATTACTTTTCCATTGAATATTAGTATCGGTACTACTACTACTACTACTACTACTACTACTACTACTACTACTCTGACTCTGACTCTGACTCTGACTCTGACTCTGACTATTAGTTTTGGTACTGCTACTGCTACTACTGCTACTACTTCTTATTTTTGCTATTACTTTTAGGATTACAATAATTATACTTATCTGGCTTTCTCTCCCGTGCCATCATGAAGAGTCTCGCAAAGCAATATAGTTATAGCTAATACTGTTTTTAGCAGTTGCAGTAGTGCTAGTTGTGCCACGTAACAAGTAGTAGTAGTAGTAGTAGTAGTAGTAGTAGTAGTAGTAGTAGTAGTAGTAGTAGTAGTAGTAAGAGTAGTCGTAATAATAGTAGTCGTAGTAGTAGTAGTAGTAGTAGCCGTAATCGTAGTTAATGACGCAAAAAGTATGCCGATAATATTAAAAGCACATGGTAATAGCAATAATAATAGAGATACACATAATAATGTAAGTAGTACTGATGCTAGTAGCAGCTATGGTAATAACCCTTGCAAGAGTAATGCCAGCAGTAACTTAAGAGTAATAGTAGCACGATTAATGATACCCTTACGGAAACTGATAATACTAGCAGTACTGCTTGAAGAGTAAGAGTAAGAGTAGTAGCAATCGTAATGGTACTAGTACTAGTACCAGTATGAGTAAATAGTAGTAGTACTAGGAATAGCAATGGCCATAGCAACGCTACAGGCAGCACGAGTAATAGGAATGATAAAAAGCAATGCCAACAGTACTAGTCACACTACTGGAAACAGTACTACTAATGGTACTCGCAAAAAAAAATAGCAGCAGAAACAGTACCAGAAAGGTAACATGCATAGCAACAGTACTAGTACGTGGTGCCAGTATTAGTTATCGGAATCGTCATACCATTTGTTTTGATAGAAGCAGTAACATTTATGGTAATGTTTGCTGGCTTGCTTGCTTGCATCCTTTCCTGTATGTTTGCTTGTGCGAATACATGTTTGCTCGCTTGCTTGCTTGCTTTGCGTACTTCTCCAGCTTAACTGCTTGCTTGCTTTTCTGCATGTTTTCTTGCTGCTGGCTGGCTTGATTTTCCTCTCTTGCTTGCTTGCTTCCTTGCTTCCCTGCTTGCCTGATGCCATGCACGGCCGGGAACAAATGGAAAACAACTCCCGAGCCAATGGAAAGAACTCTTGCAAAAATAGGGACACCGTGCGCCGTCCGTGGGAGAAACTCCTGCATCACCTGCGCAGGTAGCTCGCGGGGATCATCCAGGTCTACACTGTAGCTCTTGATTGGGAGCGTCAGCGACCCTATCACGGGCAAAGGTCAAGCTCTTCGGCTTCAGGCCATTGCAACGCGAAGACGAACGACCTTTCCAGGCCTCGGGCCTTTCTCGCTGTAGATCAGGGCTGAGGCTCATGCCAAACAAACACAACGGACGCAACACTCTAGGACTCTACTCGCTTGTCCCTGTGCACTTGCTTTGAGCCAGATGGCATGGCCACTCAGCTTGACCCGATATGGCAGGAACAGTTTCGTCGCGCCTTAATCCCGGTCGCCTTCTTGCAATCCCTACGTCGTCCTTTCCCTTCTATTTTCAACGGCCGGTCGTTTCCTATGCCACACCATCCACACCAGAAACAGCCCAAATGCCGCCCTGATTGGTCCGATTTATCAATGCACTGTGGCACATTTGCTCGCCTAGACCTGCGCAGCCCGCCACTGGAGCTCACTTGGGTATGGGCATTTCGTGCATGCTTTTTGGTTGCCCTGTCTCCTGTTTCCACCAGCTTTGGGTTGGGCTGTCCAGTGCACCGGTGAGGACTTGGGTGATGCTGGAGTTCATCGAGGCGGTGATCCAATACGGCCTAGAGAAAGCCTGTGTTTCAATGTCTGCGTCTTAGTCAGACTAGAAACCAAGCAGACATCCGCGGTGCGAGATCTACCTTCACGACACAAAATCGAAGTACTTCCCTGACTACGTGCTGACGTAATCAGCAAGATTACACCACCTGACTGAAACCCCTTCCGTCCGTGTAGGTCTTATTACGTCCTGCCTCAACGTTGCAAAGGCGCCAGGATCAGAAACCAAACACAAGCCTTTCTGGAATCCCTGTCTTGTATCCATCGTGCCCATCTTGTCAACTGCTGTGGGTGCCATGTAATGTCAGTCATTCACACAGCTGCTCAAACCTGCTCTCATGCCTTAGCTTTGACACCATGCACAAGTCTACTTGACTCTCTGTAGAGCCAACGCAGGCATAATTAGTGCCACAGGCCTTACTTGCTGCGAGGTATACAGTGCACACACACACACCGAGCCGCTGAGCATAGTGCCAACAACACAGCGCAACTTTTTCGAGCCGGTAGGTCAATTTGATTTCGTGTGCAACTCATGTGCACTGTGAGCTTGCCTAACAGGACAGGACCGGTTCCTTCAGAAACGAGTCACAGCGCGCTGAAGGCTCTTCTCTGATCCATTCTGCAGCTGTACATACAGGGTAAACGGCATAGCGCTGCAACGCGCTGCTCAGAGAAGCAGGGATAACGCCGCCTCCATAAGCAGTGCTTTTGCGATGTGCTGTGTGCAGCCGTAATCTGACGCACCTGGCTGCATGTCAAGCGGAGAGTGTCTGGCCTTATAATTATAACTTGGTCGAGGACTGCGCAGGTACAAGACCACTTCGTGCAAGCGTGCCATGTGCTTCTCTCCTTAGCCTTGCGCCGGAGCCCTGAAAAGGTTGGAAACCCTGTCCACGCCTGGGCTGAGGTCGCACATGCGACATGCGCGCAATGCAATAACTAGGCCATGACACGGACGCGAGTTCAGACTACCAGCCAACTCCTGAGCGTCTGTCGGATTCCTTGAAGGCCCTCCTTCACAGCGTGCACAAAGACACAAAGCACAAGCTGTTGGTGTACGCATGCCGCATAGCCACCAGTCCTGCACCACCAGGTCCGTTTCCAGGCTGATCACCTCCTCTGAGGAGCGTCAATTTAAGGCTACAGGCTTGAAGCAGTTCGATGCCAAGACTTTTCCGGCTGCGCGACCGCATCCTTGTAGTGGACCTTGCTGAGCCATCATCAGCTGCTGGCCCAAACCGGCCTGCCAAGGCGACACAGCATAGCGGCATGTGCCACAGCCAGGCTGTGCGTGTCCTGCCCTTGGCCCTGGCCCTGCATTAACCTTGCAGGCTGCTTAAGGCTGTTTGCAGGATATGTTTTTTCCTGGCAGCCCAAAGCCCCAAGATGCCCCAAGGCTGCAACTCCACACTCGTCTTGAACATTCTGTAACCCACTCTCGTCCTCAGTGACACAAGCAGACCGGCACAAGTGCATCCAGGCTGTGGAATCCTTGGGCTTCAGGGCTCAGGGCCAAACGCCGCAACATCCAAAAGGACACCAAGAAGCATGGCCACCTCCATAGGCTGTGTTTCATGCTTTCGAGATATTCGGGATTCGATCTGATCGGTGCAGAGCGGGGTAAGCGCAGCGCGTTCTGGACTACCTCACACTGTTTGCCGGAGTGGTCTGAAAAAGGGTGAAAGCTGCCGCTGAGGGAACTGAGGCACAAGGCCCATGCGTGGCTACACAGATTTCGTGGGATGTCTACCTGCGCTCAGAGGTTTCTCAGAGCCGCCTTCCGCCTGCTTCGTGCTACAAGTGCTCCGCTGTGGCCTTTGTGTCGGCTGGAACGATGTACGGGGCGGTACCGTTCACAGCCGCATTGTCCAAATAGATGGTGGTGTTCTTCCGTAGAATCGCTTCGAACTTGCGAAGCAGCAAGGACATGTGAGGGCAGCACTTGAAAACAGTTGGTGATCGTGGACAGCCGCTGACGCGTGACGCAGATCTAAGCGCAGTGCTGGCTTGGGGCAGTCGCTGGAAAACATGTTGCCCGCTCCAGGGTATGGTTCTGCAAGCAGATTGATGACATTCAGTATGTCGAAGAACCTTCATAATAATCTCCGTAATGAAGAATGCTGCACACACATGCAAGCAATCGGCCGGCTTAGAATCTTAGGCAGCGACAATGAGATGAAGGCTAAGAGAAAAAAAGGAACGATGCACGTGCTCATGCACCTCGAAGACGGTGCGACTGCATGGGAAGGAGGTGGGCAAACTTGCTTTGTTAAGTCCAAAGACTGGTCAGATCTTGATGCCATCGCAGCAGCTGCCGCCAGAACAAAAACCTGGCATGGGCTAACCACTGAGAGCTGACCTGACTTGTTCCGTCGCTCAGTGTTTGCCCCTTTCGACGAAAGTCCGGCAGAGAAAAGGGTGTGCATCTCGCTTGGCACGAACCCACAGCTTGCACAATGTCTCGGCAACAGGACGAGCTTGCTTGCAACGGTTTCCAGTCTTGCCGCCCTGAGGAAAACAGGTTTCTTGGTTGAACATGTCCAAACAGTTCAAGCATGAACAAGTTTTCAACACTGTAATCTCTTAGGCTGGAGATGACAGGATCATCTCTTGGCGTAGTCTATAAATAAGGCTAAGCTGTATGTCCAGAGATAGACACAAACAGTCAACCTCGTGAACACGCATGCAATTGAGCGACTTCCGTGTCGCGAAGAGCACTGTACAGTAGCAGAGGGTGGAGAACCATGTTCTCGCAGGGGGTTCACTTGGACGCTAGATGAGAGGAGCTAGATTCTAGAGCCTCAGTCTCGTTTCAGTTCTGAGCCTGAGCTTCGTAGGATTCGGTTTTAGCTTTCAGAGGTCGCCGGGCGGCGCCCCGCCCGCATACGCTGAGTACCCGAGGCGCGGGCATAATTGATGCCAGCATTAAAGGCTCCAGCTATCAGCGACAGGATTAGCACAAGCAGATAACCAACCTGAGCAAGGTCCAAGCATGTGCAAGCTCTACCTCTACTGCAGATGGACGCAGGTGGCGGCTGAGCTCCAGTCCACAATCAAATACAAAATTTTCTTGTACCTGAACAGCCCTAGGTGTTCCAGACTTTGCTGCAAACTATGTTGAGCTCCAAGAACGAAATCATCGCCTTAACAGCTCCGGCGGTGGAGGTGCAGGGCCTGGGCCTCTCTCAGTGCAACAAGAGAATGTTGGCTAAGACCTATACTGGTGAGGCGTCCGATCGGCCGAATGATGGAATGCTGAGAGCAACAAGCTGCTGCTTCACACCCAGTTTTTCCGGGTCGGGTGAGACGTAGAGTTCATCAGGTCTTCTCAGGTGCTGGAAGGGACCGATAGCCCCCAGCAACAAGGACTGGCTGGACGTCAGGTAGAAGTTCAGGTGCGCCGGGCAGCAGCTGATCTGTGTGGTCAGTGTACTCTTCTAACCCTTCAAGCGGTCGTATAAGCTCGAATTTAGCCACCAGCAGGACCGGCTTGCGGTGGGGTTCCGGGTCGAAAGGCTGAACTTCGGTGACGTGATAGCCAAGCTCGCGAAGGTGCTCTGCATCAGCCCGGAAAGCCGAAGCGTCAACAGATACATAGACGATGACACGGGCAGCTGTTGATCGCAGCCAGCTGTGAAAATAACTGGGCGTGCCGCGACCCTTCTTGCGATTCCTCGGTTGGCAAACAAGAATCACATCGGGAGGAGGCAGCGTCGGAGCTGATTCTGTTCCTGCCTGTGTGAGTCTTGTGTCGCCATCATGTAGCACCACGTCCATCGCCGATGCGGCCGAGGTTGTGTTGCTGTGCCGATCTTGCTGCCGGTTCCCAAGGCTGTGTTCCGGCTGTGCCCGGGCCCAGGCGCCGTCAATCTCCATCTCGATCTCGATGTCGGAGTCTCCATCTTCTACATCCCACTCATCATTTTCACCCTCGTCTTCGGAGGCACCAAAGGCTTCTGCCACTTTGGCTCTCGTTTCGTCCATGTCGTCGCTATCTGCGTCCTCTTCACCGTCGGTGCTGCCACCACTCTCCTTCGCTGGACGAGCCTTGCGTACAGACCTTTCATATCGCCAGAAATTCTTCGACTTCACTCTATATGAGCTGGCCTTCGCGACAAGGTACGGATCCACAGCATCTTCATCCCCTTCTTCCACTCCCGCTGTCTCTCCAACAAGCGCTTTATAAGCTCGTGTCAGCGCCTGGAACCGCTCGGAAGCGTCAGCATCGTTTGGGTTTTTGTCAGGGTGGTATTTCAAAGCTAGCCTTCTGTACAGTCGCTTTAAGCGGGTTTCCATTTCAGGAGGAACTTCGCGAACCTGCGGCGTGTCCTCCGAATCGTTGCGATTCACGGGGACAGGCAAGGTTGTCAGCACGGGGCGAAAGTCGCGGACGAAGGCTGGTAATAGAAGCTGTAGTTCTTGATGTGCCAGCGCATCTTTCCGCAACAGAGGAGCATTGAAAGGTGCAGCCGTGAGTCTTTGCACTTGCCGTCTTCGGCTTTCACCGGGAACGAAACACGTAAGTGCATACTCCCGCGCCTTGTCCTGCTCTTTCCCGGTGCCCAGCAACAGCCGCTGTTGCTGTGACTGTGAGATGTGGAAGGAAAGCTGCTTCAGGGTGAAAGGACTCCTGAGATTGCACAGAACTGTCGTGGTGTTGGAAACATTGTTTGCCGCCAGATTCCTTTTGAGCTCTCCAACTTCTGTTGCTGAGGTACCAATGGCAACAACATGATCGCAAAGCTGCCCGAGAGCCAAACTTAGCTCACCCCCACTGCAGAAACAGTGCCACAATGTGTCCGTCTCGGTTAAGCCACACATTGCAATCACAGTCTCGCATAACTCTGTTAGCAGACCTCCATGTGCTGCCAGACGGGAGCCAGCGCCAATTTCCAGAAGAAATCGGCGTACGTCACCATTAAGGTTAACCTCGAAGGATTGGCGCACGTATCTTCTGCCATAGAGCAGCACCTCTCTTCGCCCGCCCATCGCAGCACGTCGAGATCGGGCTACGTTTGCCACGATGCCAACCAGGCTGCGAGGAGCGGCTTCGACAAGGGCATCTGCCAAAGGCTGCAACACTCCCGTCACATCCTCAACCTCATTCCCAAGAACAATATTCAAGAGCACTTCGGTCCGCCGAGCACTGTCCGTTCGAGGGGGTCCGCGTGCGGTGAAGACCATAACACTTCTAAACGCCCCCCAGCTCCGCAGCCCATTGTATATGCTATACCGCGATTTTTTGGCTTGCCGAAATCTCATGAAGACGTCGGAGAAAATGCTCAAGACGCGGACTGCTGCGCGGGGTGGCAGGATGCAGCCGTGCAGTCCCTCGCCTTGCGGTCGAGCTTCTGGAGCAAATCCAAACGGTGCAATGAAGACTTCGCCATCGCTTTCGTGAAACATCAGCTCCATCCGATATGCATAATGCTGCTGAGGAGTCGACGGTCGCATTCGTGCCAAATGTCCCATTGGGATCTTACCCTGGCCAAGTGCTTTCTGGATCCATCGTGTTTTTTCTATCATCTGACGCTCATACCGAAGGTCTAGGAAATCGCAGCCGCCACAAGAATCGTAATGCGGACAGAGTGGACGGATCTCATAGCGACTTCGACGAACCTTTTGTACCTTCGGGTTGACATACACATCAAGATCGCCCTTCGGGTACTTCTTCTCTACCACCTTGCCGAACTCGACAGTGACGACCTCGCCTGGTAGACCTCGGGGAACGAGGAACTCCTTTGTTAGAACCGAGTTCTTCCTTGTGTACCAGCGGAATCTGATGATGCCCGCGCCATCTTTCTGACAAATCCCGATGATCATCACATCCTGAGGCCAATCTGTGCGTGGAGGTCGATTGCGGAGTGGCACGGCATCCCGGATCCTGTCCGGCGCTCGATGACTGCTTAGAAAAGGTGCAGGACCTCGATGCGGCTCCCACGAGAACCCTCTTCGCTGCAAACATCTCCACCACAATGGAGGCACATATCTTCGTAGGAGAGGAAGTCGCATCTCCGCTCATGCTGAAAGGTAGGCATGGCACCGGTACCGCACCTACAGTAGATCTGTACAGAGAGGGTAATTAGGCTTCAAACTGGAGTGTCAAAGGCACTGGGCAAGATTCGAAACTCCAACGCTGTAATAAGGACTGACGGCGAAGCTGCTGGGCCTGAGCAGACATTGTTGGCAGGGTTCGGCACGACGGAAGCTTCACTGCGCACCGTGTCAGCTTCTTTAAACAGGGATTGCAATGTAATGTACATGCACCCAGAACCTGCTGAACTCTCGCCTGGACCAAGGCCGCCTGCTAGAGGAATCATGGCGACCTCATCTCAGAGGAGTGCTCACTGTAGCATCACAGTTCCACGGATTGCTACCAGTTCCAGGCTTCGATCCCGCCAGGAGGTAAACCTCAACTGGAATCTGAACACACCTTGCTCATCCTTCCACCTCCACGTGCGAGGCTACTTGATCACAGGACGCAGATCACATTCTTCAGCCGAGCAACTGAATTCAAAGGTCCCACTTTGAACTTGGAGTCAGTGACAGTCACGTTGGCAGCCCATCAGCTATAAACTGAGCCACTCTGCAAACACCAGGCACGAGGCTCGTCAGACTTGACAAGTAGGACGAGCAAGTCAAACATTCAGTGAAGCACGTGGACGGGCTGACAGCTTTTTTGGTGCGAGTCGGCTTATGCGTTTCGTCTTACTATCTTGCTGGGCTGGAGCTTGCAGCTCATGACAGGAGTGTTCACAGCTGCATTTAAAGAGGAGCACCATCAACCACGGGTGGCATCCCAGTGCTTCTCGTTTTCGCAATGATAGCTGGCAGAGCGCTACCGAGCTCAAAACATCCAAAATTGCCGCAGCGGCAAAGCAAAACAAATATGCCCATTTAAAGTTTCTCCCATGACACCCGGCTGACCTGTCGACAAGCAGCTGCACCTTTCCGCTTTGCACAGGGGCCGGTCTTGAGTTTCGGACTGTACCCTTGTCGTCCAGTGACACGCAGACGACAAAGTGCGAGCCGGGAGTGGCCTTGCGTGAAGGCAAGAATATGCTTGACGGTCTTTTCCTCGACAACGTGGCGTGAGACATATTGTCCCATGAAACATTTCGGCTTCGCGTCATCTCGTCGCTCACCGTCCCCGCGTGCTGGCCCACCTCCTCGGTCTCTGTTTTCCCGATCTGCCAGCTCCTTGACAGAACAAGAATGACAAATGACTGCTGGAGGTCATTGAATCGGCTGGGTTCTTCACCGATTCTGCCCGGAGTCATCAGGCCCACAGACCTCTACAACTGCGCGGGTCAGGGTATGCTACATGTATCAAACCCAAGCTTGGTTCTGGAGGCGGTTCAAGGCTCAAATCCCACACATCCGGTCACTATATCAACTGCCGCAAGCGTTGCCGTCACTAAGAACACGGCAGTGTACTTGTCCTCTGCGCCCGCCTGTATACATCAAAGACTTGCGACAAGCCTCAGCCTATCTCGCCTTGCATATTCATTCCGAAGCTGATGGCAGGCCTCATCGATGCTGGGATAGATAACGCGGTCCCAACCTTGAATCGCAAACAACCACGACGTGCATAATGCTGCATGCCTTTCAAGCAGCCCAGGAAGAAACAACAAACAAAGTCGTGCTCAAGAACCAGTTCCTGCCACGAAGAGTGCAAAAGGCAACCCCTGAGGCGATGTCTACCATTTTCCAGAAGTTGGAAGCAGTCCCAACCTAAGTAAGTCACGCCAGGCAGCGGGAACACAAACAGATGCGACCAGACATGGCGGAAGAACTGCTTCAATTCGGCGAACATTCCAAGGTCATGGCCATCGTCACCAATTTCCATGGGAAATACAAACAAACCATCTTCCCACCTCGTGGATGCATTTTGCTTCGGTCACAAGCCGTGAGCTATGAATATCTATTATGAATTTCTTGTGGCATCCGTGTGCGACTACGCAGCAAATTCGGCTTGATTAGTGCTCGCCCGGCCTGTCCGGCCCTGCTTGTGAAAACCTGGGCCTGCCATGCCTATACCGCACAGGTACCCCTGCACCTCTCGGCAGGGTTCCATCGACTGCACACCCCGTGTAAGGGGGTCCGTGTCCTTGAGTACTGACGGTGGCATTGACGGGAGCCAGCCGATGCAGGTCGTCTCGGTGCATATCGAAGAGCACACACAAGTAGTCTTTCTTTCACCAGAGCTCGGGGGACTGAGGGGTAGAGTGATTGCAGGGCTTGCCACATCTTTCGTGCTCTTTAACTTCTCAGCCACGGCGGGATGCCCAAAGATTTACGGTTACGGATGTCGCAGAGAGGGATTGGGACGGGGGAAGTTGCAGGGCCGCGTGTTCTTCTTCAATCCTGGGATCCCAATGCACATGCTTCCGTGCATGACGCTGGGCAACTGTAGAAAATTGCATCTGCGGTTTTGCGCACGATTGCCACTTCAGGTCGTAGAATCTTAACAGTTACCTTATTATTGCCAGTTGCTGAAGTCTTATTTCATGTCGAGCTCTGAACCTCGGCCGTTGAGAAACTGAGGCTTGCTCTCCATGGCGTCAGGCATGAAGCTGTTCCAGCCTTTGCAATTCTACGACAGGGGCTGCATGGCAGTACCGCTTGGCTGTCTGCTTGTTATCTGAGTAGCTTCCGGCGATCGAGAGCCTGAACGGTGGCTTCTTGCCCGATGGCCACACCCTGGAACTCAAGCTGACACATCGTTTTGACTGGACGCAATCGTCGGCTGGCCCTGGCTGTGGAATTCCCTTGACGTTGTCGTATGTCTCCTGGAATCAAGAAAGTCTTGATACCAGTACCCTATAGCCTTTGATGCGACCAATACAAAGCCAGCCTTGTCTTTGCCATTTGTGTAGGCAGTCTGCATTTCATCCAGCCCGTTGGAGGCCTGGAAGACAGCAGCAACAGCAGCAATAACATGCAGTCCAAAGGCCTGCAGCAGTCTGCAACGCACTTCTTGCCTGCCTGTTCCTTGCTCGCCCTTGCGCATGCCTCGGGATCACGAACAGGTTGTGGAACTCGTTGTTTGGTATTGACGTCATACCATGGCCGCCGACTTTGGACAAGCCCCGCCAAGTCCTGCGAGGAAGCTTTCTTCAATTTCACAACCCTTGCGCCCAAAAAACTGCCGAGCCACTCTGGAGGAGATCGCAACCCCAGTAGGCCTTAGCTCGCAAATCCTTTTGCCAACACACTCGGCATAGCAACGGCCGTGCAACTTGTCAACATCACCCAGCTTCGCAGGGCTTACAAAAACAGGGGCACTCCATCTGCTGGAAACGGTTATCCTAGTCTGTTGCTTTTCGCTTTAATGAAATGAACACGCCTTCGTTCCTTTCTTCACTACGTTGTTTCATTGCATTAAATTGAAGCAAAAGAGTTCGCTTCGCTCAAAATAATAAAGTGTAACGTGTGTTATGTTTTAAATGAACAGAAGGCAAGCGAACGAAAAAGAAAGCGCACGCTTCATTCATTTAAACACAACACACGAGCCCACGCCGCTCAGCTTTTTTAATTCGCTTTTCCCTTTCGTGTCGCTTATTTCTCGCTTCCCTTTTCATTCCATTGAAAATAAGCGAACGAAAGAGCGGATTAAAAAACATCCGTGGTGTGACTTATTTCGGGTGGTGTTTGTTTCATTCGCTTCGCTCGCGCCACACAACTCACGAAGCAAAAGAGAGAACGCACGCAAATTACACCAGGAGCGCGGGCAAAGAGGAACGGAAGGTAGGTTAGGCTAGTTGTAATTAAATGAGACGAACGAACCAAGGAAAGCCGAACTAACCCGTCATGACGAGAGCCTGTATTTTCAGTCTTTCCACGGCTTACGTTTTCTCTTAGCAATCGTTCATCTTATCCCCTTTCTCTCTGATGCGGTACAATTGAGTAGAACAAGGATTCACATTAGGATTCCATTATATTAGCGTATGATTCCATTACATTTTCTTCTTACTTCTCAAACGTTTCTATCTTCTAATAGTCATTGAATGCGTTGTAAGAAGAGAATAATGAAAGGAACCCGAACGAACAATTAATTTGGATCTTTTGGACAGCATTTCCTTCACTCGTTTCATTTGTTACTGTAAAAGAGCAAAACAAGAAAGCAACGAAAGACTCACTTCACTTTATAATTTACCTTCTTAGTACGTTCGCTTGTGCTGCAATGAAAAGAGAAAAGCATGCACTTCATCACCTTGTTCTTTCGTTGATCTTTTCCTTCTTCATTATAGCACAAAGCTCTCTTCATTGTACAGGTACAGCGGTAAGTGAGATAGGTAAAGAGGAATGAGCAAACGAAACACATAAAAGCAATGAACCGCGCTTCACTGTGTTCGATTGCGTTCATTCTTTCAATTGGTTCGCTCTTTTCTCTTCACCACCTAACCGCAACAGTGAGCGGAAGGAAGCCGTGCGTGGGCTACTTAAAGCGTGAAACCAGCACGCATTCGTTCATTCTTTTCTCACTTTGTCTTGTTCGACGCACAGTATATATGCTACCAGAAGCAGGCGCAGTCTGCTCTCGACTCAACTTTCGTTGCCCGAGGAATCGAGCGGAGCCTCACGTCTACAACTTCCTTGGCTTCGGAGCCATTCAAGTTTCTTGACCCCTGCTTCATTGCTCTGATCTGAACGGGCGTTCTGATGGTAGGACTGCCTTCTACTTGAGAGCCACGGAGAGAGGGGGACCCAAGCTCCACAATGGACGGTGCTGGTGACACAGGACTGCGATAGACAGACGACACGCACTCAGATGCTCCCATTCCGACAACTCGACGAAATGCCCGGACGCACACGCAATGGTGCTACCGTGTCCAATATATCCCAGACAATGCAGCGCACAAGTGCCCATCAAAGGATCCTGACTCAGAAGAACCGTGAAAAGAATCTTCAGACCCTGTTGAAGCCAACATCAGCTTCGTGAAAGAATCAAAAGAAGCCCTGCAGCCACCATCTCCAGCTCAGCAGAGGTCTGGTTGTCCTACAATACCCAAACCCTGCCGGAAGAGGTCGCCGACAGAGTCGAGATCTAGCCCAAAAGCGCCCTCCTTGGCAACGCGGTTCTTGCCCACCACGGGTGGGGCTGGTCCGACCCCCCCCCCCCCCCCCCCCCCAGAATCCCAGGCTCACATTCTCAGATAAGAAACGAAGCTGCCCGCTCCAGAGGAGCTTTCGTGAGAATCCACATGCCGCAGTCGGCCAAAACACCAAGACACCCGACAGCCAACACTTCACTGAATATCTCATCCGACAGCTACATGCCACATCTGAGCTCAAGGCTGTTAATTTCTTCTGCGAGTTCAGTGAACTCCGGCCGCTCCACCTCGGCTGGGCGACTTTTCACTCAGACTGGACACACTAGCGAAGTAGCAGCACTAAGAGGAACTTGGGAAGGCGACATAAGGTCCCATGGCTGCCATCATCTTGTACACTCCGGCCTTGTGAAGCTACAGCAGTCGGCAGCGACCTTCTCACGACTGTGATGAGCCGGAGGCGCGCGAGCCCTCGAAACCATACTTCGGCAGCACGAGACTTTGCACCTGACACGGACAAAACACCCAGGGAACGGCTGCTTGAGCCATGTGAGAAAACAAACTGCTGCCTCTAACATGAGTTCTTGTCTTCTGCGGGCCTGAAGGACGTCTAAACAAGAGCGCGATGGCAAGTGAGCGCATGAATCTCAATTAGACTCAGGGTTTGGCGAGCTCTCCGGGGCCATCAGAATTTCGCTCCACCTCCTTCAGCCTTGCCTGCAAAAGAATGACATTTTCCCGGGCGGGAGCACATGTTCGGGGGCGATGCAGGTGCATGTAGGCCACGCCTGAAATTTTGGGTTCGCGAATCTATCTCCTGCCGAGACCAAGCGCATCAAGACACTGCCTCTTGCATCAAGTGTCAAGCCATGCAAGCGTGACGTAGTTCTTGCTGCAAACCTCGTCCCGTTAACAACGCCAGACGTAATGCTGGGCACTGCTCAAATGCTGAGCAGGGGTCTTGTGACCTCGTCGTAGCTGATTGCTGGATCCTGTTGACATGGCCGCAAGAAGTGGATCAGAGTTGATGCTTGGCACAGCATGGCGCAGCGTTTGAATCCGTGCGGATCCGGTCGCCGTCCTCCTCTAACTCCTCATCGCTGCTGGTTGCCTGATGCGCGTGTGCATGCATCCACTTATAAACCCAAATCTTGCATCGCTTGGGCTTCTGAGGTCTGCACAGCTTGTGCCTGCCAGAAAGCTGCATCCAGACAATCTTCATTGATTGATATTCGCGACTTGGCCGCGCTCACCTTGTGCGCGATGAGTCCCCTGCTTCCGAGACTGCCAAGAGTGCTAAAGCCACGGATTCCGCCAAGGCCTTCACAACAACACTTGAGGCGGGCGTCCCTCTCGTGGTTCTGAGACTGGCGCCGCCGAAGGTACCGAATCCACTGCCGGGGACCTTCAATTAGAACAAGCGGCGACATGCTGAGAGTCAAGCGTGCTCAGGCTACTGGCCAAGGGTGGTGGCTCCTTAGTGTGTCGTGGGATTCATCCGATGGCGACTTGTAAGTAAGTCCAGAAGCTAGACTTGGAGCCACACATCGTCGTCATTGGCATATCCGGCGTGGACGTTGCGACCCGGACGCGGTTTCACTCGGCCAAAACTGTCCTCGACCATGTCGTCGGGTCCTGAGTTTCGTCATGCCATCCCTTGGGCTAGAAACTCAATATTAGAACTTGGGTTGCTGGGCACTGGTAGACCTTTTTCACTGCGGGCTTGTGGACAGTGCATCGACGTGGTCTTACTTTTGCGAGCCTCGCTACCACGACGGCGCTGTGACGATGCTCGACAGACTACTTTGTCGTTCGACTTGTCGTGGCCCAGGCACAGTTCTCGTCGCCATCCCGCAGCCCGGAGACTGGCGTTGCTGGAAGATGTGCGGCCCATGTGGCCGTGCATTCCAGCACTCGGGCGTGTCGGGTGATGCTTCCACCAGTGCTACATCAGGCAGCTCAGGCAGAAGAACCGAGTGCTTGCAAAAGCAAAATTGCGGACCGAGGCATCAAATTGTCCGGTCGGTCAGCATGCGCGTAGTCCTTCGTGCTCATGCCAGGCGCAATGCCCATCCACACAGAAACATTCCGCCACAATCCTGGGCCGGTTCCCAAGGCTGTTTGTTATGCAGGTAGTGGGCTCTCGAAGAATCTCCGCTAGCAAGCGGCTAAAACCGCTGGCAGCCTTTGGCTAGTGCAACTTGGGAGACGTCCGTCGGAGAACGTCGGGCCAAAAGGATCGTCAAGCAAGCGTTCAAACTGTCGCCTATGCTTTCAGCTCTGTCCAACAATTTGCCTAATAGTCTGCGCTGTCTTCTGCTTGATGGGGACCACTGCGAAGTACCATCAACGTACTCATCGGCTGTATCCAGGGCATCGACTGCACGACACTTCCATTCCAACACGCTCGAGTTAATGCGAGCTGCAGACAAGGAAAGATCCTCGATGAGTTCTCCAACATCCTGCGAGATCGTGTGGTCCAGCGATGCCCTCAATTGAGATATTCGACGCATTGCTTCGTCCAGGCAGCGATAAATTCGATCCAACACACTCGTAGCATCTCGGGTGGAAACTGATCCACTCTGAAGGCTTGCACGCAAAGCATTCAGTGCATCACGAGTGTGCGGCCAGGACAGATGCTCCGGCTGTCCAGTCTGTCGACCCGGGGTGTGTGCAACGGACGCAAGCCAAGGCTTGGGCACTCCTGGACTTGGTGGCGCTGCTGCTTTCGCTGCAGCTGCTGCCAAACAGGCACTGTTCGAAACATTTGTTTCTGCACTTATGCGGCGTGCAATTTCCGTGGTGAGCAGCTGGACATTGGCTGCTGCCAAATCGTAGGCAATGCTGGGACATGTGTCACTGGGTATCGAGGATATCGGGTGCATCAGGGCTGACGAAAATCCTGGTTTTTGAGCGAATGCCTGGCGAGCGGCATCGTCATACATCAGCTCATTTGTGACTGTCAATGCCTTCAAGCGTTGCTGCAGCTGCACGCTTTCGTCCAGGATGCAGCTCAGGGCGTCAACCACTTCGGCCAGCTCGGCTGGGTCACTAGTCGCTCGCTCGCAAAGCTCCGTAACCAATGGGAAATCCAAGCGCGTGTCAGGCCTAAGCGCATCTGCCAAGAGCGATGCCGCTGACACAGCTTCGGTGGCTGCGCGTGCTTCCACTGCTGCCTTGACTCTGGCTACCAAAACACGCCTTTGGGAAGTAAGCTTGGTCACCGCACTCTGGAACTCCAGAAGGGCCTGCTCCCGGCTTTCAAGATCTGAAACAACAGAAACCGGATTCGGCAAATGATCAAACCATGAGGAACTCGGTAGACCAAGCGTTTCCTGACTGCGTCGACACTTTTCGCTGATCTGCTTAGCCCTTGAAGCTGCCGCCTGTGTTTCACCAGTAGCACTGAACAAAACCTCAGCATCTGTGTCTTCCAAGCACACGAATTCCTCGTGCAAGCGCATAAACACCTTGTCCAGCTCAAGCAAGGATTCGCGAATTTGCAGCAATACAGCAGCAAGAATTGCAAGTCCTTCCGGCGAGTTCCGATTTGGGCTTAGCGTTGCCCATAAATTCCAACGCAATCGCTGAGAGTCCAGGCTTGCGGTGTCCCCTCCGCTGGCAAGTCGGAACAGTGATTGCAGTCTCTGCGACATGACGAAATCAGCGGATGTCAAGGTTCCAAAGTCTGGTTGTCGTTTTATGTGGCAGGCCAGGTTCCTAAGAACACCGGCAAGGCCTCCGGGATCTGCAGACATTTCACAACCACAAACGTGCATCGAGCCCGGTAAATCGAACAAACCACGCTCATCGTCCGCGCTGCGCGCAACCAAATAACTTCCCCTAGCGGTTCTTATGCTGATCCAGCCTTTTATGTAGGAGAGCTGGGCCTTCACCAAAGCCCGCTGTCGTCCAACAGTAGTATGTGTGTCCAGTTCCAAAATCTTGACATACGCCCCGGGTAAGAGCTCACATATCCACTGACTGCTCACAAGTTGCCCGGTTCTCATCGTCGCTTGGTGTGTAACTCTACACATGTCACCGCAAGCAATTGGACCAGAATCCGGCTCCAACGATCCACACCTGTTCACGAACAGAAACATCACAAAAAACATGCGATGCACCAAAAGCTTGCTTAGTTCTCCAAACCCACACTGCACGGCACATGACAGGAACAAGCCTAATCACAGTAAGCACACAGCTTATATGCGTTCCGACGCATACATATTCAAACGAGGCAGGAGATTCAAGCTGGTCTGTCAAGTTGCTCAGTGGGATCGTCCATCTCCCCATCGAATGAATCGCTTGGATCGGCTTCATCTCGCATCCGGAGCACGTCATGTGTAGGTGGCATAAAAATATTAAAGTGCCAGATGTCTCCGTGACAATTGATATCAACTGATTGAACTACATTGAACTTATGATTCTTGTGGTGATATGTCCCGATCTTGTCGCAGCTGCACGTGACGGCATCTGTCGACAACCTGAGTGAACTGTGGCCGTTCCAAAACACAAACAACAGAAATCAAAACACATGCTCGCAGCCATGACGAGTGACGAGTGTGAAGATATGCAAACGATCTGCAAAAGTGGGACGCGGCTGCGGAAGAGATAAGGGTCAGAGCATGTGCAACGATAATCTTTTTCACACGGATAGCAGAGCGGACGAGGCTAGGCCCGAACCAACTTCCACGATGCCGCCGACCTTGATCCATCATAGCTCGGTGAAGCCGTGTTTTAAAGTGAATTCCGGCACAACCAAAGTGCAACCGTAACATGACATTGAACAGGCCATGGCCGATTCACGAAATTCAGCCCCCACCACGGCCACTTGCCTGAGCACATCTAACGCGGTATGCCCATATGCCTTCTTGAGACCACGATCCATTGCTCAACATGGCATCCTGCTCAAACTCAGCCAATCAAAACGCACAAAGGGCGCATGCACAAGCTGCATCAAGCTGCTAGAAGCACTGACCAAAATCCAACATGCAACGGAGGGCCGAGGACCCACTTTAAACACGTCCCGGGAAAGAGACAGAAAGTTGTCGGTACCCTTGGGTTTGTTTCGACAAAAGACTGTTCAGTAATTGGAGTCCCACTTCCCGGGGCCGCGTTAATTAACACTGTCGGCCGTGAACACAAAAAAACGGGCCCAAGCGTGGGATAGATATTCGGGCAATCATATCACTACAGTCTGCTTCGTCGACGCAAAGCCGACAAATGCGGACACGATCGCGACCGGACGCATCGTCCAACCTTGGACTCGGGATACTGTTCAACATCACGAGTCTAAGGAGTCTAAGGCTTGGTTTATCTTGGCTGGCAATTCGGACACAGGGCTTACGGCTCTAGCATGTTCTTGCTTAATGTGTGGGTTCAGCCTGCTCCTGAATCTGCTGCGACGGAAAGGTTGGGCCTCCCTGAAACACGAAGAATCTCACGAAGATGAGATCCGTGCAAGTCCTCAAAAGCCATGGGAGTTGCGACAGGCGTGGAACTTGGAAGCTGGGTTGTTACTTCTACGCCATTCTGCATCTGTCGGATTCTGTCATGTACTGTGCCGATGACCACGTGCATCACGCTGATGATGATGATGATGATGAACAGGCAACAGCATGATCATGAGGACGACGATGATAATCATCAAAAGAGGTTTGTGAAAAGTCCTGATGATGAACGACGATGATGGTGATGTTGCTTATTCTTTGCCTGTTGCCGGCCTGTACCTCATGAACGTCAGACGGACACGTCCGCCAAAACCACGCTATTTGCGACGCTGTTGTTTTGCAGTTTTGAGAAGGGACCACAAAAGTCACACCCAAACAAACTTGAGGCCACGGCGGCCACCACAAACGCCGCATATACTCGACAAGCAGCTTGGGGAATGCTGTCGAAACAAAAACCGCGAACAGTGCACTTCTGCAAAGCGCCACAACAATGCGGAAGCAAGAACAACGACCGGAAATTTGATGTCTCCAGGACACACCAAGCAGTCACTACACGGTGCTTGCTGCAGGACACTTGTTTCGCAGCTGCATTGTAATCGTGTACGTAGATACCAAAGTGATCCTATAGGCGTGTGCTAGTCTTGTGTTTTTGGGTGGTGCGCTCAAAATCTCGAGACGCTCCTAATTCGTTGAAATGCGCGCCTGGCAAGCGTCGGTCGTGGTCCCAACTGCCCAACAACGTGACGCCATGCTGCGCTGCATGCTGACATTGCTGGGATCTGCACCGTGTCTCGTCCACAAAATCGTCGTCCCGGAAAGCTGAGTACGCTCGGGAGTCTTTTCGAACCTGAAGCCATCCCCGATCTGTGCATGCGTGTAGACCAGAAAACAATGCGCAGTAATGGCTTTCGACATCCACATCTCAAACATGTTGCAACATATCAGTGGCCAACCAAATGAAGAGAGCGTGGATCACAAGCCAAATGCCTTGCCACACAGCCGAACATCACGATTGACAGACTATCGACAGCTGGGCTGGAACTAATTTGGTGACGTGTCGGGGCCGTGCCTGGCAAGGGCAAGCTTGAGGTGAATGAACCTGCGTCGTCAAGACATGTCGGCCAACAGCCCTAGCCACCATTGGTTGTCATGTTTTGATAAAGGGGCCAGGCTTTGCGAACTCAGGAGTGTGAATTCGCAGCTCGCCCTCAGTGCCGGAGAAGAATGGCGAAAACTGTATAAGGATCGCAAGCATGCGCCACTAAAGCATGCCATGCTTCGTGGTGTGTGCCCTGGGGTTAAGCTTTGCGCCGGCTGTGTAGCGTGGCAAGCAACAACTTCTACAACCTGGGGTCAAGGCCAACTTGAAGAACATTAAAATAACATTCCGAGACGTCATGTCTGCTGGCTTCACTGCGAACAAAGCTCGCGGCCATTCGCTGGCACTCCGTTGTGCCCGAGCCCGGCAACCCGTCACTGAGCACACAACGGCACAAAAATCCATGTCGTGCTGAATGATGCTGCATGCTAAGGATGGGAATTTGTCAGTCACACACACACACACACACAATTACACATCACAGCGCATACACGTGCACACAGACACACTCGGCTCTGTCGGAGGCCGCGCGCGCTCTGGCGCGAACCGTCCGGAAGACTCTATAAACGCGACTAAAGGCCCGCTCCGCCCTGCTCTGTCTCCGACAGAGCGCGCGTTTTGGGGGCGAAACACGACTAAACGCCCTCTACGGGCTGCTCTGTCGGAGGCCGCGCACGCTCTGGGGGCGGATCCTCCGGAAGACTTTAAACGCGACTAAACGCTCTCTCCGGACTGCTCTGTTGGAGGCCGCGCGCGCGATCTGGGGGTGAATCCTCTGGAAAATGCTTTTTTGGTCACTCACACACTACACTCACATACCACACACAGTCCAAAACGCTCACATACCACGCGCAATGTACGCGACTAAACGCATGCTCTGTGCAGCGTCTGGATTTCGCGCGCGCCTCCGGGGCGGTGCCCTATGATGGAAGAGGAGTATCATTGATGGACTGAAGCTGTTACCGTATGAATGCATTATTAAAACTTCCTTCAGGCATGCGTTTGTGCAGACTTTTACAAACTTTTCGTTGCCAGCTCACTACGGCGGCTAGGGCCCAAGCCACCTGTACGTGTGTGTTATTGTGTGTTTGTGTGTATAGGAAATGCCCGCGTTTGTGCTCTTCTCGGCCGCTGCCCGTACTGTACTTTTTTTGCCTCCTGCATGGCTGAGTACACGAAGCAGGGAGTCAGGAAGTATACAGGTGAATTCAGCCTCGACCCGATGGGTTATTAGGCAGTTCATCAGACACAGCGCGAAGCCAATTGCAGGACTCTCCCAATTTCAGGTTTGTCCACTTACTTGATTACCAATTAAAGCAGTATTTCATGCTCATGCAAGGCATCAAATTCAGGATTTCAGCAAAATGCCGTGAATTAAAACTGTGCGATTCAGATGACTTGGCGTTGAATTGGCACTCAGGGCAGGTGAATTGGCACTCAGGGACAGTTGTCAGGCAAGGTCATTTACGATTGCGGCTGCCATCACAAGCAGAATGCAGGCAAGAAGAAATTCCCGCTCACATGATGCCTGCAAGAGCGCAATACGTCGCAATTTAGTTGCTTGGCATCGTAAAGGTTGTCAGGCAAGGTCTTTTGCGACTGCCATCGTAAGCATAATGCAGGCAAGACCAAAGTCCAGCTCACATGATGCCTACAAGAGCATATGACTTCTCAGCCACCTGCTTGGCATCATAAAGGGCATGCGACCTCGTTCATAGATGTAGAGATTCCGAATGACAGCCTGTTGTATCCAGCATGGTATCGAAAATATATACTGAGTGACCAAACACAGACATAGGTGTCCTGTACGGGAAGTGAAATCACCGAAATTGTCACAGCCATAGGCTTCTCCAAGCAACCATACACTGATAGGGCTCGGCTCAGAGGCAGAAGTTGCAGAACACATCCGTCAATTCGCAGCTTTGGCAGAACCCGGTACAGTCCGGTTACACAAGCGCTGATTGCAGATCGTAGATCGTACTATTCAGCAAAAGAGGTTCACCAATATTCTGTAAATCCATTCCGGTACAGTCCAGCCAGTCACACATATTCTCCATTGCAGATACGAAGGGGCGTCATCCAGTACAGTTCGGTCACACATAAACAATTGAAATCCCAGCCCTGTCAAGACCTTGCAGAAAGGGGCACCATCCGGTACAGTCCGGCCACACATGCACTGAAAAAACGATTGAAATCCCAGCCTGTCAAGGCCTTGCAGAAAGGGGGCGCCATCCGGTACAGTCCGGCCACACATGCACTGATTTCATACCCCCATTGCAGATGCCCACTCCAATGTGGAGATGGAAAAGGTTGGGCACATCTTTGTCCAGGCGCACTGAATGCTGTCCATAGCATTTGGCGGCATTTGTAGAAGGACGGTCCATCAAGGGCGCCGGGATGGTGAGACAGTGTGTATGCCAGCCCAGTTCAGTTATAATATTCGATAGACTCGAAATTACGGGGAGGATAATATAGGAGTCAGGGAAAACAATGAACCCAAGCTCATAGACTAAAGTCGGACAGGAAGGGAACTAAAGAATGTGTAGGGGTAGAGGTAAGTGTAGGGTGAGAGGCTCTTGCAGGTAAGGAGACAGTCCAGCACAGCAAGCAGGCAGCAGGCAGTGGTGGTTGTTGGTCAGCCATCATCTGTGGATCATATAGGTGTTTGAAGCCACTCCCATCAAATTGTCATCAGGTCTGTCTCTCGCAAATCTTTCTGAGAAAATGGACCTGTCAACAATAAAGGCAGATATATATATATATAGAAACAATAGGCACCAAAGACAAAACAACCCCACTCCAACTACCGAGAAAGGACAGTTAGTCAATGTGGAAGATGACCTCACCACATTGAGACAAGGACAATGCCGGCTCACCTGTGCGCGCCTCATTGAAGCACAAGGCTTGCTGCTGCAGTCTGGGTTTTTTACTTGGGCAGGGCTCATCCGAACAAGGAGGGGTCCAAAGGTTAGGTATGGAGCTATCAAGCTCACGACAATTGGGCACGTGAAAACCCAAATCCCGAAGTTGATCCCTCACGTTTGGTGCCAAGGTTCTGACATGAATGACGGTCCAGGCAATCAATACTACACGAGGTGTATTATCCTCCACATGTTCACTCGCATGGAGGATTTTCCTAGCATCAAAGATCACAGGCTCGGATTGGGCAGGGATGTTGAAGCCCCGCACAAGGTTTCCTTGGTGTTCTCTTAAGTCAGGTCCGTTCTTATCTGCAATCCAGAGACCTCCGCCCCTGTTGGAGCTCAGAACCTGAAAGAAAGTGCCACAGGGCCCGTTCCTCGCATCCCTATGGGGTTCCCGGGGCATATCCTCCCTAACAGCAATGGTAGTAAAACGGAAAAGGGGTTGAGTTCGAGCAACAAATTGGGTAAGAAGCCTTGTAAAGTAGGGATGATTGTGGCTGCCTTGTAGAACAACATTCGTAGACCTGGGACTGGCTCCTACATAGATGACTTGGGGATCAAGGTGACTTGAGACTTCCAGGTTACGAGTGCAGGTTTTGAAGGTTCTGGGGACGAGGTTCCAAGCTTCAAGGAGACAGGACTTCTCAACTAAGGTTTGCTCCCGGCTAAGGCGCTTGAAGGCAACAAAGGCAACTAATTCAGAATCGGCTACCCTGCGATCAATTCCAAGAGCTCTAGCGAAACATCGAAGTCGATCGTCAAGTTCATCAAGGTTTTCATCATCGTTGGACATTGTGGACGGCTCAGCTTACCCGGGCCTCTCTGTCCTACTGGTTCAGCTGTCTCTGTGGCTTGAAACTGCGGGGCACTGATTGTAAATTGCAACAATGAAGCCTGAAGAAAGTCAGTTGGAGGGTTGTTGGGTCCTGGATCCTGATACAAAAGCTACAATGCTGGCGTCTGCAACTTTGCGCACTACAGCAATTATTGGGCGGCAGCTAGAAAGCAACCGTAACAGTTTGGTTCAGGAGCGCTCAACCTACAAGGAAGAGGAAGCAGCTACACTGACAGGGAAGCAATTACCGTGGTTCAGCAATGACGTGAGCAACTTTTAGCATCAACTCAAGGCTCGATTGGGCGATCATGCAGGTGTTGTACACCGCGACGAAGCAGCACTTCCAAGGAGCGCGCTTTATGATGCAGGTTGCAGTGGTATTACTAATTAAGGGTTGCAATGCATCTGTATTAGTTTGGGACAGGCAAGCATGTATGACAGGCAACACCAAAGTAGATACCAACAGTAGTCAGCTTGCTTGCGTCCATGAACGTATGAATCACAATGTACATGTGCATGCATGCAGAATGGAATTACGAATGTCACCAAGCCTCAGGCCTGAATTTGACAGAATTAATTAAGGAATTAGGCCCAGCAGTTCGTACTCATTCATACAAGCATGGCTCCCCTCAACAAAAAGGCCAGAACAGTAACCGTAAGGTAACAAAAGGTTTAGGCGTGTCGGCAAGGGGAACCAGCGAGGCGATGATCTTCCTGTTCAGGCATCCGTGAATCGATGTTGGGAAAGAGAGGGAAGAAAGGCCATTAAGGGTAACAGGGCATACAGTTATAAAGGTCCCCAAATTCCCAACATCGATTCATCAGCTGATGCTCATCGTTGGTTCTGTAACAGAGCTGTCAGCAGGTGATTGCCCGAAGCAGGTTGCGATGGAAGCTGTGTTATGAGAAAATTAGGCGCCGCAGCAGGTGAGACAGGTGGCTGCGGGTTCAGGTGTTCAGAAAGCCGCAACTGAATGCCCGGTGCCGCCGACTCAAGGCTGACTGGGATAATAGTGGGCGGCGTCTGGATCGGCAGGTTGGAAACAACCGTCTGATGCTGTTGTGGCGGTCCAAGCGTGGTAGGTGGCGTAGATGGATGCGCCGGAACCGAGTCTCGCTGAGACCCCGTAGTTTGCTCTGGAGCAGGTCTGTCCGCCGCTGGAGGTTTGCGTTGGGGTAGCTTAGGCAGTCGACCCAGGATTTCTTGGAGGACTTCGTGCTCACCTTGTATGGCCTCCAGCTTGGTCTCAGACTCCGCCATCTGGTCCACCAAGGCAGTGATCATAGGCTCCACCCTGATCAGCCTGTCCTCGCAAGCCTGGATTGTCTCCATATTTTGTTGCAGGTTCTGCTGTGCAACTCCAGAAGCCTCTCGGCCTGCTGCAACAAGGTCACCAAGACGTTTGACCTCCGGCATAATGGGTCCCAGTCCTCGCACAAGCAGAACCAAATCCCGAAGTTGCTGGGTCGTTTCCTGTAGAGTTTGCCCCATTCCACGCACCAGTGAAATGACATCCCGAACTTGTTGACTTGTGTTACCATTGACATCCTTCATCGTCGTGAGCAACTTCTCGTTCTTTTGGTCCACAACAACACGCAGTACAGCAACTTTGTCAGCCAGATCATCAAGCCTGCTGTGCACTGTCTTTTGGCCTTTTTCATTGGCCTCATCAATGCTCTTGCCAAGCTTCTCCAGGGCCGGCTCTTGCAGTTGCGTAGACACCAAACGTGCCACAGCTGTATGCGTTTCGGTGAGGCGGTTGAACATTCCGCCGAGTTTGGCACAGTCACTTGTAACAGAGCCCACTTGTTTGTGCATGCTACTGATCTCCCCTGCCAGGGGTTGTAATCCTGACAGTTGAGCCTTCACATCCACGTGTTGCTTCTTGACAACTCCAATCTCTGTGCCCAAGTCTTCGATCTCCTTCATCAGCTTGGGCAACTCATGATCACGGAACTTGGACATCAAGTCAAAGGTCGCCATTGGGTCCGCGAGGGATCCCGACTTTGCATGAAGGTCAGAGTGCACCGAAGACTCAAGGGCATTCAGTTGTGCCGACACTCCTTGCAGTAGAAGGATCATACGCTTCTGCCAGCTGTAGACATGGAGACTCAAGGCTCCTATCATTCCAAGCAGCAAGCAGAACAGGCACAGCTCCACATAAGTGGCACCGACCTGGGCAGCGCACCATACCCATTCCAACACTGTCGTCATGGGAGTGACGATGAGATCCATGGCGAGGGCAGATACAAGGGAGCGGTGATGTCAGTCACTTTGAGTGCTCTGGACAAGCTCGCATGCAGTCACAAGGTATGGGTTCCCTGCAGGGTGACGGGCGGCCTAAGGAAGCGCAATTAACTACCCGTCCTGCCCCCCCCCCTTGAAGTAGGAGAACAACAGAAAGCCCAATGCCCATTAGATAAGGTTCCGACCAGAAGGAAATCAACAGCGTAGATAGGTGCTCACATCCAATTCACAAAAGGTGGACAAGGTTGGTGGTCCCTGAGCATGAATATGTTTTGAAAGCGACTGTCTCTGATGACTCGTCTGAAATGGTTGAAATGGTAAGCTTCCTTAGCTGCTTTATCAGCCAGATCATTGAGTGCATGGCCTCTGTGGGCTCGAACATGTCGCGCGGTCACTGTTCGACATATAGCATGCCATAGGGAAATCATGTTATTGGTGTCAGGAATATGGCAAGTAGGTTGAATTGTTTCATCGAGGATTTGGAGTACATATTCACTGTCAGTGAGGTACATAATTGGAATATCCGGGCATGTTGTACGAAGTTGCTTAATAAGTGTGAAAGCCTGACATGCAGCTACGATTTCAGCCCTGATATTCGTACAGTAGCCATCAATTCTTCCCTGGGCAATGATAGTGCGATCAAGTCCAGCATATGGAGCGAGAATGCAGACCCCAAACGATCCATGTGCAAGTTTAGAGCTCCCATCCGAACAGAAAACTACCATGCCTACTTCGTCCTCTTCATCTGGTGGGGCAATAAACTGATAGGAGGCCGGGTAAGGTTCTTCGACTGGGGGATGACGCATAGTTAAAAGGCGGAAAGATTCCCCTACTTGTAGAAGCATTCGGCCATGAAGATCACAGTCAGCTAAGCTAGGGTAATACTGGGTGGGTAGAAGGGAGAGGGACTGTAGCCAGCGTTGCAGGGCCGCCTCCCATTGCAGCCGGTCTTGACTAGCATGATACCAGTAGTTAGGTTGACCAGGCAGCCGAACAGAGTCCCAAAGCCTTTGAAGATAACGAGCAGCATTTGGCCAGAATCCTAGCCGGCGTTTGCAACCTGGAGTCGACCCCCATTCCGCTAGCCATTCCTCGTTACGTATAGCTAAAGCTACTGTAATTGGAGATTTCCGTTCATAAGGAATTCTGGCAGCATGAGCCCAGAATCTGCCGAAACTCTGTGCCTGGATTGCTTCCCATCTGGGGTGTTCCAGGCATTGAGCAGTCATACGCGCAGCGCGCCGGCGGACAATCCAGTTGAAGGCATTGGGTGTGAAGGGGTCCGAAGCATAACGGCATAAGCAGCCGAGGAATGAGGTGTGGAGGGTTTTCAGGGATTTTTGTACTGCCTGGATTGGACGCACACATGCAGAAAGCCAACGCCATTTACTCGTGATGTATGAATTAAGAAGATGCATCTTGGTTTTGATAGACCCGCAGGGTCGTTTCAACAGTTTAAAGTGTCCCCAGAAGCTATTAGTTGCCATAGCGAGTCTGGCATTAAGAACAGCAAGGCAGGACATTTTAAAGCCAATTAAGACCCCGAGAAATTTAAAGTGATCGACCTGTTGTAAAGTTACCCCATCAATTACAACGTCTTGCTTCTGGACAAAGGGGGCAGCAAGAATCTGGCACTTATTGAAGGCAAGAGTCAACCCGATAGCCCGTAAGCAGTCCCTCACTTGGATAAGCATGCGCTGCAACTGATTGAAGCTAATAGCAAGAAGGATGAGGTTATCAGCAAAAAGTATATTGAAAAGTTTAAGGCACTCCCCAGTAGGCAGCCGCATGCTTATCCAAGTGGATTCGTCAGATTGCCACCTCTGGACGACGTCCCCTAGAAAGTGGTCAACCGTTCTAGCAAAGATTTCTGCGCTATATGAAGAGCCTTGAAGGATCCCTCTATCGATACTTTGAGACCATTCATAATCAGCCATACTCAAAAGCACGGTAGAGTAAGAGATTATGAGAAGAAGGAGTTCAGCTTCACGATGGGGGCCTAGAAGGCTAAGGAAAGTGCAGACAGCAAGATGGTCTAAATGGTCAAAGGCGCTCGCTATATCTAATTTCGCAATGACCAATGGGAGGCCATATTCATTGGACAGCCTAACAACCTGTTGTAAGGCGCACGAGCCTTCGAGGGTCTGGGCTCCCGGTAAACAGCTTAATTGACCAGCCTTCATGGGAGGGAAGTGAGCCCTAAGGCGATACAAAAGCAGTTTAGTGAACACTTTGCCAGGAACGGAAGATAGAACAATTGGACGAAGGTCTTTAGGCACAGAGGGGGAAACTACCTTTGGGATAAAGGTAAGCCTAGACACAAGCCAATCATGAGGAGTGGGGGTAGATCCCAGAAGAATACAGTTAAAATACTCCACAATGTGATCCCTAAGGTCAGTTTGCATGGCGACCTGAAGGAACTCATATGAAATGCCATCAGACCCACTGGATTTGCCTCTCTTACACGTGGCTAGAACACCATCGATCTCATCTGGAGTAAACAGTCGGGGTGCCATAGTGGGGCCTACTTTGTATCTCCAAGTTTCAATGGCCAATTCCTTAGGGCGGGGGTCGAGGGGGGAGAATTTAAGCCGATAGAACTGTTGGAGGTCACTAATAGCTGTAATCCTGCCACCTGCCCTGGTGAGGTAATTACAGTGGGTTACTAACGAAGATTGTCTTCTCTTAAAGTAGGAAATAACCTTGTAATCCCCTGCAGCTCCTTTATCAAGGAGTTCAGTGTACCACTTCTGCTTGGCAAGCGCCCTAAGCTGGACGATACGTAGGCTCAGATTCCGGCATTCAGCCCCTCGTAGACACTTCCTTTCGCGGATAAGTGCACGGATCTCAGGAGGATCACAGTATCTGCAAGAAGTATCTCGAAAGGAAGCTTTAGAGCAGGCTGAAGCAAGCTTGGACATCGTGAGATCAGACATATTCAACTCCAAAAGCTCAGCAAGGTCGTTACAGCTTTCCACAGCCTTAGAGGTGTTCACCCGCCACTTACCGCTGCGGTGTTTGTCAGGCTTCCGAGGCTTCGTATGTGTGTGGGGTTGTAAACTCTGGGAGAGCAGCACAGCATTGTGATCAGATCCAATGAGTTTGTCAGTATCAGGAAGCACCCGAAAGTAAGATTCAGCAACAAAAGGCTGAGATACGAGGACATAATCAATCTTAGAATGAGAGCCCCTACTATTGGACCAGGTGGGCAAATTAGGGCGCCAGAATTCAAGCCCATTGGATCTGATCAAAAGATTGCTGAGAGAAGCCCTTTCATCACATGCATTTGCATCTTCTGTGAATTCAGCAGCACCTAATTCATAATTGGCATCAATGCAGATAATTAAGGAATCATGCAAACGTCTCGTATGCAAGAAAGTATCCAATTCGGACTGAAAGGCTTGCCACAGATCAATGCAATCTTCTCGTTGTTTGTGAGGCAAATGAGCACACACGAAGAAACGTTTGACAGAGTCATTCTTGATTAGTACGCCAATGCCAACGGACAGTACAACGACTTCAACCACAAAAGGAAGAAGGCGAGCAGGAAAGCCAAGAGCAATCGAGTGGTGAGTTTTGGGATGATTGGTTACATAGAACCCCCAGTTCCCGTCCAAGCAGAGATCATGAAGTTTCCACGGTTCTGATTGGTGGGAATATCCGCCAACTTCTTGAAGTCCTAAGACATCAATGCCTTCAAGGCCCGATTGATCCCAGCAGGTCTGAAGATCCTTTAAGGATTTACCCTGTAGGTTCCAACTGGCTGCATGCCAATGAATTCGTTTTCTCGGCTGTCAGGACTGCTGTGTTGTGTCACTTCCGTACTGCAAGTAACATTCCTGAAGGGATTCCGCTGGTCTGTTGGTGGCTTGACTAAAAGCCGCAGCACTGATGAACCATTCCATGTGGTTCCCTCTGTTATCTGGGAGGAATAGGTCTCCCGCGGAGGCGTCCTTTTTGTCAATGTGGTGCAGGACTTGAACATGGTTCAGGAACACTCTACCTTGCCAGAGGATCTCAGGTTCCGCAACTTTACATCCCTGAAATGGGGGAATCCTTTCAAAGAAGACTTTAGTCAGAACGCATGCACGGATACGCAGTCTTTCTTCAAGGCTTTTGTTTTTTGTGACCCATAGCTTACAGCTGGATTGTCCCTGAATTCCACTTTTAAAGGAGTTACCTTTAAGTGCATCGATGACCGAGTTCTGATAAGCACGAAGTATCGAGATGTGGGCATTCTCATCAGGGAAGATCAGGCTAACTCGAACAAAGTTCGTGCGCGACGAGGGGGCCCAAAAATCAGCCCAGCAGTTGTCATGACCGCAAAGTTTCATCATGTGCTTGACTTCCTCAAAGGCGTCAGTTTTCCGGGCGTCGGTCCATCCTCCTACTACAATTTGTAGACTGTCGGTATCAGTGTGATCATCATTAGCAAAATGCGGAGATCTAGGGCTTCGGTGGCCTGTTCCGCCGCCTGGTCGACGGGTTGGGGTGCTTGGACCACGAGTTGGTGTAGGAGATCGCGAAGGACGGTTTTGAAGCTCTTTAACCTGTCTCTCCAGTTCACTAATACGGGTCTTAGTGGATTCATGGATTTGAGTGTGTTCCTTAACCCCTGCCTCAAGAGTGTCCAAGCGAAGGCCATGACCCCGAAGTTCATTGCCAAAATCAAGAACATCAGTGTGAGTCCTGTCCTGCTTCTGGTGTAGGGCAGCCATGGAGTCCATAAGATCAGCAATCCACGGTGGGGCGACGTTCTGTAAGGACTGGTTTTGCTGAATAAGATGGTTCAGGGGAGTGGTGGGCACAGGGCCAAGGCCAGGTGTTGGGGCACAAATCCCGTGTGGTTCCCCATCAGGAACAGGCTTGCTTCCAATTCCCTGTATGTCAAGATCATCCTCAGGGTCTTGTTGAGTTAGATCATACAGAACAGGAGGTCGTGTGTTCATGAGTTCATCATCCTTCTCCCTGGAGTAGGGGTTCACTAC